GGAATCATATTCCGCGCCAACTAAGCCGCGTATATTCGGCACCACGCTGGCCGCGTATTGTTTGTCGTGTGAACGCAATTCGAGGCTTCGTAAGCCGCGAAACTGTAGTGCGCTACATTGATACTAGGCGGCGGAGTGTCGTTTTTCACTTCCATATTGTTTTTCATCTTCAGCCATTGAAATATTTCTCCGAATTTCCTGCGAATTTTTGTTCAATCCTCTCTATTTCTGATCATGTCTGAAACAAAATTCTCATCTGAAGAAGCAAAGGGACAGCGACAGTGGTGGTCGCACAACGAGACCGCAGCATTGATCTCGATATTTGGTGATGAACGAGTAACATCGAGATTGCAAGGCACAAGAAAAGACAGCATCGTATATTGTGAAATGTCTGCTCAGCTGAAGGAAATGGGGTTTGCAAGAAGTGGTGAGCAAATGAAAAACAAGATTAAAAAACTTATTGAGGCCTACCGTAAAACAAAGACAGTATTGGCACGCTCAGGTAGTGGGAGGACCAGCACGTGCGAATTTTTTGACGAGCTTGATGACATTCTGGCCGACAGAGCATCAACCAAGCCAAAGGCCCTGCTGGATTCTAGAAAACGATTGAACGAATACCAGGAAGAAGCTGAGGATAGCGATGAAGAAACATCTAGCCAGAAATCATCACTATCAGGTAGGCCTAGCCCTACAAGGTTTATATAGGGGGCCTACTACAAAAAAGTACTATTTTTATGGCAATGTAAATCAATTTGGGTTGGAGCGCACAGTATATTCATGTATGCATTAGGCTAAATTTAGTACATTTAGTACAATTCTCACGTCGTTTGATCTGCCACTTTGAAACGTAATAAACATAATACACATAACAATAATCCTGGATGCTACATTAAAATTCAAGGTCTCTGTTATTTACATCAGCTCTGTCTTCTTAATTTAGTCACATTTCCTTCATGAACTTTCTTTTTTTAGACGCTGAATCGTCTGATGTCGAAGATGTAAGCGGCCTAATCAGCAAGCTAGGTAAGCATTAGCTCTAGAACTATAGCCCTCCGCTCCGTCGCAGGGCTATATAGAACATACTATGGATTTCCAGGGAGTAAGCAGACAACTTTTTTTGCGGTTAATAACTTCTTCGGTATGCCAAATAAAGCACATTCTCTGCCGCACAAATGTCTTAACTTACTACAAACACTAAAATTAAACCGCAAACTAATGCTTAAATGTTGTACTGGCTATATTACTTGTCAGCAAAGATTGTTTACCAACTTGTAACCGCTATTTTTCGTGATTCTAGCATGATGTATTTCCAAGTGGAGGGGTGGGCAGGTTGCACGCGGTTGCAAACCGCGCTAGCGCTGCGCAACGAGAAATGGCAGTTAAATTCGCGTGCAACCTGCCCACCCCTCCACTTGGAAATACATTGTGCCCGCTCACTAGCGCCGGAATCGCGGTAGCAATGCGCAAAAAATGGCGGTTACAAGTTGGTAAACAATCTTCGTTGACGAGTAATATAGCAAGTACAACATTTAAGCGTTAGTTTGCGGTTTAATTTTAGTGTTTCTAGTAACTTAACACATTTGTGCGGCAGAGAATGTGCTTTATTTGGCATACCAAAAAAGTTATTAACTGCAAAAAAGTTGTCTTTGCTTACTCTCTGGAAATTGCCATAGTATGTTCTATATAGCCCTGCGGCGGAGCGGAGAGCTATAGTTCTAGAGCTAGGTAAGCATTATCTTTTTACTTTGACTCTTTTACGTAGAAATCCTTTAAATAACTGTCTGAATGTAAGTTTTGTGGGTGGAAAAGTGGATTTTCGTACCATAATACGTATCTAATTTTTGACTGGCGTACAGCTGATTTTTACCATAAACGTACTATGTTAAGGGACAGGCCCTCTTGTATAGTAGTAGACCATGCATTTGAGCAGTTTTTAGATTTAATTAGGACCTTCAAATTAACGTCAAAGATACACAATTGGTTTGTTTTCTTTCTAGGTATGTTGCCTCATCCCGCTGACCGACTAAGTACCTCTTTGTCCCACCAAAGCAGCTGCTCTTCTTTTGATCTAAACAGCACCTGGTCATGTGATTCTCCTTGTGAGGCAGACAGAGGTGAGATTTTTTATTTATTTCTCCAATAATAAGTGGAACCTGAGATATTTTCTTTTGTCTGAGGTGGAACCATGATTTTGATAGTATGCATGCATGCATGCAGTTGTAGTGCAGTCCTGATAAAAAACCAATTTATTTCAGGAGTTAAATAAAAAAATCACTACCCAGGTACGAATTTTGTTTGTCATACTAGTCAGATAAAATGTACTTGTATTTATATTGTAGGTCCTTCACCACCGCCAACACGACCACCAAAGAGGAGACGATCATTGAATTTGAGAGATGTTTCACCAGACAATGGAGGATTTAATTTTGGTATGTACTTTTCCCTTTCAAATTCTAAAAATGGTTTCAGGTTATATTTAGGTCCGAAGTTAAAACATATTCAATGCATCATGCAAATCACCACAAATGAATGTGATCTTATATTTTGTCTTCCCCTACACTAATAGTGGCAATGTGCAATTATTTTGAGGATGATGTTTTCCATTATAGATCCATTAACACCTGGACCGCCACGTACTGCTGATGTTGAAAGTGATGATAGGACACCCAATTCTAAGACTGCAGATACATCCATTCGTAACCCGCCTGAGGTGACCCCAAAATCGAAAGAAGCTGCTCTGCCAAATAAATTACCAGGTAGGCTATGTATAAGGATAGTAGGCAAACTTTAGTTTGATGCCGTAGTTTAATGTTTATTGAAGAATAAGGACTGCTGGACAACCATCTTAAGCTTTTTCAGCACCAGTCGGCAATTGCATTAATACGACAGAGGCTACAATGCTAAACTTATAGATTGATTAAGTTGTCACTTTACATCCGCCTGTGGATAAAATCAGTTTAAATGTGAAATTTCCGACAGATTTTTATCAGTCGTCGTGATATTGGTATGTATGGCGGTCACATTATGTCGACGTCACGAATTTTCTATGGTAAAATTTGTAAAATTTTTGTTGCCATTTTTTTACATTAAAAGTAAGAACTAACAGGACTAAACGTATTGTAAAATTCTTACCTGATAAAATTATTTCTCAACTAGTTAAAAATCCAAAAAACCTGGACAATTTGATATTGTGTTCCTGACATTAATTGCTTGCTATGGGCTATGTATGCGTTAACAGCTGTATCTGTGCTTGAGATGCTTACATGTATTTTTTGTCTTATATTTTAGTTAAGGAACAGAAACGAAAGAGAAGTTCTGCAAAGGACTTTAAGGAGGGAGTTGAAAAATTAAACCGGGAGTTCTTTCACCACCAGAAGGAGGTTGAAAAACGTTTCATCGCAGCTGAAAAAGAACGCGAAGAGCGTTGGTATGAAGAAAAGCGAAAACAAGAAGAAATGCATAAACAAGACAGACAAGACAGAGACAACAGGAGAATGCAGCATGAGCTAAACATGATGCAAATTCTTTTGACAGGAGTGAGGCCACAGACTTCTACCAATACCAGTATGCATCAATCTCAGTTCCGGCGGCAGACCAACGATATGCTGCAGTGCAACATGAACCAGAACCATTTCTCCCACTCCCAACCAGAGTCATACAACAACAATGAACCATACCCTGAAACTTTTATGGAGCAGTTAACAACAAAGTGGTGAAATCTGCTAACCCATTCGTTAGTCCTTGTCTGCTGTATAAACATAAAATTTTTGTTTGCTATGAAAATCTACATCTTTATGTAGTAAATGCCTCTTCAGAATATGTCTGTCAGTGTTTGTATTCTGGCCTGTGCATATATTTGACATGTAAAAACGAAATTATACATTTTCCAATCTATCTCCGGTAGTTTCTTCTCACAGGACTGGAGTACTGAAATAATACAATGAGTCATAATACAAATATAGCAATAATGGCAGTGTACAGTCGATACTTCCAACAGTAAACCTTGCTTAACTCGGACGCATAATGTTTTTAAAATTACGCGGTATCTTAGAATTAAGGTGAATTCACAATGTGTACTGTAGCGTTAATATGTTAATAGTTAATGCGTTAATAGTTGTAATACTAAATTTTTGTTACTATTTTATTATTTTATTTATTAATCTCTGTGTTAATATGATAAATATGTTCACCAAACACAAGTTTTAGTGGGATATATTTGTGGTTACGGTAAGTGGTGTATATTGAGTTACGGTATATACGGTTATATTGAGTTACGGTAAGTGGTGTACACTGATTGTTAGGAGTGCTAAAGGTTAACAGTTTATCCCTGTCGTATAAGTCAAAAAGTCTTCTTATATACGCCGCAATTTACGGTACTTTTTATGTCATGTATTGTCAAAATATGTTTATGTATTATGATAAATAGATGTCTCAAAGGGATTTTTTTGCAATAAAAGCAATACATTATGGTATTAAAACCATTGCTATTTATTATTTGTTTCTGGTGCCATGCCCACTCCATTTACATGTACAGTGAATCTAAAATCTCCTATCTCTTTTCATTGACTACGTCACGAATTTTCTATGGTAAAATTTGTAAAATTTTTGTTGCCATTTTTAGCTCACCTTGACATCCTCAAGCTGAGCTATTGCCATGGGTCGTCATCCGTCCGTCCGTCCGTCTGTCAACATTTCGCTACGGTCAACGATAACTCAGGAACCGTTTGGCCCACATGTTTGAAATTGGGTATAGTTGTTACTGCTATGCTCCCATATTAAACGTCCTATTTTGGAGCACGCCAGGCAACGTACTTTCGAACCACGGCAATTTTTAAATTCCTGACATTAATTGCTTGCTATGGGCTATGTAGAAGTCACGAGTGTATGTTCACATCAAACAATATAGTAAAATAGGAAGTATACTGCAGCAATTTAAGTTTTTAACTATCAAAAGTGAACAGAATTACTTATATTTTGAGAAAAAGTCAAAATATATTTTTTATTTTTACTATTTACAGTGACAAAATACATAAGAGAGAAGTGTGCATAACAAACTGACATTCAATTGGTTGGTAGACTAATGGTAACTAGTGGCAATTCTCCAACGTCTGAAAAGAGAAGACAAAATTACTGAAGCTCAGTACAAGTTCCTGTATCCCACGGCTGAAAATGTACCAAGAATCTACTGCACACCTAAAATACATAAAGAAGGCAACCTGTATAGACCTATAGTCGATTACACAGGCTCCATAGCATACAATTTGTCAAAAAGCTTAGCCGATCTACTGGCCCATTTGGTAGGCACCACCGAACAGCACATCAAGAAGTCAACAGAACTAGTAGAGGAACTAAAAACCTCTAAAACAAAAAACAACATCCCAAAAGAAAACCTCCACGGAGAAACCGAAGGCGATGATCGTCCTACACTATGTCAGAGGCGTCACGAACGTAGTTCAGCGTCACCAAAAAAATGCAGGTGTGGCTTCAACAATGAGACCGTGTAATTGTAAAGTCTCTAAAATGGCTGTTGGTACAATGCCAAAGGACAGAACAGATATATGCACAACATTACGGACTGTGTCTACAAGATACCGTGTGCAATATGTGGAAAAAGTTACATTGGAGAAACCAGCCAAAAATTTGAAACCCGCCTAAAAGAACACAAAAGCACCCAAATCGTTCATAAGGGCCCAACGAAAACAGTCGGCTACCGAAATCACCAAATCCGCGATCACTGACCACGTAGCAAAGGACAATCAAACCATCGATTGGGAGAATTCGAAGATCATCGATCGCGAGCCTATCAAAATCAGGCGTTGGATTAAGGAGGCCATCTAGAACTTTATTATTGTTTTTGAGTCAAGTATGTGGCAAGATGATCCCTAATGTTTCGACAACCAACGTTTTGAACTGGGAGGTCCTGGATTCACATGTAGGCCAAGCTCATTGACGGGTGGTTTCCACTCATTCCGGAATTGTTCATTAAAATTTTCGCAGATATTATGCAAAACAACACAAGCTCCAACAATAGTGGGCACTCTAGTGACATCACAGTCCAGGCGTTTCAGTAGAATTCGCCATCGACCTTTTAATCTGCCAAACGCATTCTCCACAACTACACGTGCCCGACTCAGTTGATAATTAAATGTTTTCTGTTCAGATGTCAGCCTACCATTATCTGTATATGGTTTCAGTAACCAAGTAAGCATGGGGTATGCTGCGTCCCCAAGAAAAATCAAGGGGATGGGTTTACCATTTATCACTTTTTCCCAATTCGGGAGGAGAGTGCCATCCATACCGTCATTATAAAATGACGAATTGGCAAAGACCCTGGCATCATGAACGCTGCCGGGGTATCCTGTAAAAGTATAGAGAAATCTATACCGATAGTCAACAACAGCAGTCATATTTACACTATAATATCCCTTACGATTATAGTAATCTTTGTGATCCTCCTGTGGAGCAATTATAGGGATATGGCTACCGTCGATGGCACCACAACATTGGGGAAATCCCCATTTAAGTTCGAATCCCGTTATTATTTCCCTTAGAGCATCTCCGGTGGGTACCTTAACATACAACTCGGTTAGTTCAATCAGCGCCAAGCATGTTTGGTTTGTTATGTGGCAGGCAGTCGATCTGGCAATCCCAAACAAGTGTCCAATTGTACGAAACTCTACATTTGTACTTAGCCGCCATAATGTGATTGCAACTCTTTTTTCAACGGGAATTGCTTTCCTCATCACAGTGTTCATCTTTCGTACGGCATCGTTTAGTGCATTGCATATAACCTAAAAATACACAATAAAATTGGTTAGGAACTGTTGCAACAACTGAACAAGGAGCAAAGTCAAGTGTTTTTTTAACATTTCTGAAAAAGAAAATAATAACTTGAAGAACTAGCCTAATATTCAAATAAAGACAAACATACAGGCACTGGAAAAAGCCTGAAAATCAAATGTAATCAAAATATTTTAATAAATAAAAATTACTCCTTCCTTACTAAGTTACTGGAGACTGGAGTGGGGATAGTAGAGAGCTTTCTGGAGAGATTGGGATCATATTTTAAAAAACAAGAGCCGCAGAGCGTCTGGGCTCATCCGATGTCTGTTGCTACGATTATAAACGTAAAATTTCAGTCGTGCGTAGTACCACATTTGTTAGGCGCAGATATGCAGACACGCAGAGGGTGGGGGGAGGGGGTGGGGGAGGGGGAAGAAGGAGGGTGGGGGGAGGGGGCTCTAATAGCAAAAGCAGTTCACTCCTTTGTTAACAGTCAACAAATCCATGTTTAACCCTCCTCTTGAGGGTCAAAAGGTTATCAGACACTTACTCTTCGCACGTCAGTGGAAAACACATTTCATGGTCCTTTCAATAAAGCCATAAAAATGGTAGGTCACCGCTGAAACAAAAAAGTTTTTCAATCGCTCGGTCACACCATGTCCTCAGAAAATGTCTAAAATCTGCCCTGTGCCCATTGACCTTTGACCTGTGACCTCCAATTTCAGCAGAGTGATGGCTTTTCCTACCATGATGCTATACACCGACTATCACGAGCCTAGGTCGAGCCGTTGTTTAGCCGTTTGATTTGTGCCGCAATTCTGCATTTCCTCCCTATATCTTAAGTTAAGGAGGGATGTTCCCCTTTCTTTTACACCTCTTGACCTTTGACCTTTGACCCCCAGCTTCGACATCCCAACTCGTTTTCGGATTACCTCCCCACGTCCCGAATATCGTGACCGTACGTCGAGCCGTTTAGATTTGTGCCCAACTGTTGACGGACGGACGGACGGACGGATGGACGGACGGACGGATGCTCGCACGGACGGACGATCATGCGGCTCTGCATCTGACTATGTCAGATGAGCTAAAAATGAGCAAAAGGCCTACCTCAAAGGTCCCTTTGGTAATTCTAAAATTCTCCAACCAGTCGTCATCATTCCAGGTTTTCATTACTGTGTTTTCAAACCAACCATACTCGCGATATCGTACCCACACCCTGCGTGGTAACCTCTCGATATGTTCGTTTTCATCACAGAAATATCTCAGTAACAGTTGTGACAGAAATACGAAAAAATCCCGTCTTTGTCTATTTAACAATTGATAAAATCTAGTCCGGCGTTCGTGGGCCTCCTTTTGATAATCGTCTTCATCTCCAAAGCATTGGTCATGTTCATCTGGATCATCATTTTGTGTAATTATACTGAAGAATTGCAACAAACAACTGAGTTTCATGGGCAGCGCCATCATGAAAAACACTTCCCTCTAGTGGAAAAATTAGTTACTATTATACCTGGCCAGCTAAGCCGCGAATCATTATACGCGGCTTGCTAAGCCTCGAATCTCGTGTGAACGCTCCGGGTTGTGTTAGCGCGGTATTTCATCCGAACTTCCCTCACAGTCGCATAGTACCACCTCTCACCCACGGCCCCCCCACGCAAACTTTACTGCTTACACCTACTCACCCATGCCCACCTCTCACCCATACCTTCTCACTCACGACCTACCCAACACCCCTACTAGATAGTACACACATACCTCCCCGCTACACAGCACACACACGCGCACGCACGCACGCACGCACGCACACACACACACACACACACACACACACACACACACACACACGCGCGCGCGCGCGCACACACACATCCCCCACTCTTCCTCACCCACACCTCCCCGATTCCTGCACTTTCTAGGCGCCAATCTGCATATAAACTGCTGTCAACACGCGCTGTGTGGTGTGGTGATGATGAGATGTTTGCCTATACACGCGCCACACTCCACCTCAGATAATCCTAGGAAGCAGGATTTAGATCTACGATGTGCATGCATGCAGCACCAGCTAATGAACTAGAGAAGCATAGCTTATATATATATATTATATATATAGTATATAATATATATACTATTATATATATATATTATATAATGCAAGGTAGTTATATCGACCCCGTTGGCAGCTTGAGCGCACGCCTGCAAAGCGCAGCTCGCGATTTATAATGACATACCAACACAGTCTATCCACGGCACTTGTCTGTTATTGACGCTACTCAGACATTCCCCGCACATCACCGCGTTATTCGACGCCATTCCTTAGGGCGGAGAGAGAGAAGGCCACAGTAGACCTCGTCGGGAAGAAGGTCTGGTATTGGGGAGGTGCTATAGTTGTGAGCATATGCGCTCTCGCTGTCTCTCGGCTTATTTTTAATTGAAAAGCGTTTGTTATGAAACGTCCCATTATTCTTCTCTCATTCCCGGCTGTTTCTCTCGCTTGATTCTCACCCCCCTCTCTCTCCTCTCTCTCTTCGAGTGCGGCTCCAATCTTTCACCTATCTACATATTTATCCCTCCACGTATCTCTCACTCGCTCACAATCGTTCTCTCTCTCTCTCTCTCCCCCCCCCCCCTCGCTCTCGCTCTCACTCTTCTTCTTTCGATCTCTTTCTCTTCCTCCTATCTCTCTCCTCTCTCTCCCCTCTCTCCTTTTCTCTCTCTCCCTTTCGCA